CAGACACCCTGACAGCTCTGGGACCATCTGGGAGCCCTGCAAGTGTGGTAGGTCCTCTTCAGCATATGTGGGGCAAGGGGGGTGATTTTGAGTACACAGATGATTTTTTTTTTTTTTTTTGGCAATTGGTTGGTACAGGGATCTGAACCCATGACCTTGGTGTTACCAGCACCATGTTCTCCGAAGTCAGCTAACCGACCAGTCCAAGGGATCTTTTTTTATTGAGGTATAAGGTACATACAGTAAAATACACAAATTTTAAGTGATGGATTTTCACTTGTACATACACCTGTGCAACCACCATCCCGATCAAGATATAGGAAATCTCCAACACCCCAGAGAGTGCACTCTTGCCTCTTGCTGATCAATGCTCCTTCCCCAAACGCACTCACCGATCTGACTTCTTTCACTGATAGAGTTTGGATGTGTTGTCCCCCCAAAACTCATGCAGAAATCTGATCCCCAATGTGACAGTGTTGGGAGCTGTTTGAGTCATGGGGGTGGATCCCTCATGAATGGATTAATGCTCTCCCTGGGGGGTGAAGGTCCTGAGTGAGATCTCACTCTATTAGTTCCCGCTAATGCTGGTTGTCTGAAAGACCCTGGCACCTCCTCTCTCTCTCTCTCTCTCTCTCTCTCTCTCTCTCTCTCTCTCTCGCTCGCTTCCTCTTGCCATGTGATCTGCTTGTACCCACCGACTGTCTGCCACTTTCTGCCATGAGTAGAAGCAGCCTGAGGCCCATGCCAGATGCAGCTGTCCCAGAATCATAAGCCAAATAAAACTCTGTTCTTTATAAATTACCCAGCCTCAGGTTTTTCTGTTATAGCAACACAAATGGACTAATACATTCACCAAAGATTAGTGTTGCTTTTAAGAATACTGTTTTTAAGATTCATGCATGTTGCTGCATGCATCAATATATCACAATTTGCTTATCCGTTCACCACTGAAGGACGTTTGGGTTGTTTCCAGTATGGGGCTATCATGAGCAAAGCTGCTAAAGTGATTTTCAACAGTTTAGGATGGGAGGGCAGAGAGGAGTTGGGGGAAGAATTATAGGGGGGCAGGAGGACACTTTTGGGGGTGATGGATATGTTCAGTATCTTGATTATGATGGTGCTTCCTAGGTATATACATGTATTAGTTTTCTGTTGCTTATAACAGAATACCTAAAACTGAGTAATTTATAAGGAAACAGAATTTATTTCTACAGTTTTGGAGGGTTGGAAGTCCAAGGTCCAGGAGGTGCATCTTGTGAGGGCCTTCTTGTTGGTGGGAACTCTGCAGAGTCCTGAGATGGCTCACAGTATCATATGGCAAGAGGGCTAAGTGTTTTAATGTGCTCACTTTCTCTCCTTATAAAGCCACACAGTGCCACTTCTGTGATAACTCATTTATCTCTTAACACATTACTCTGTAAATGGATTAATCCATTCATGAGGGCAGAGACCTCACAATCCAGTCAACTTCCAAAGGCCCTACCTTTCAAATATCATAGTCAGATTTCCCACCCTCTTAACACTATTACCGTGGGGATCAAATTCAATATGAGTTTTGGTGGAAGTTCAAACTATAGCAATACATGTGTCAAATCTTATCAAGTTGTACACTTTAAATATGTGTATTTTATGTCAATTACACCTCAATAAATCTATTAAAAATGTGATCAATTGCCTGTAGGTATTGTAGCAACTATTCTTTATTTACTTTGGTGTCTGGCCAGCAAGGGGATCCCTGAGGCTTGAATTGTGTCCCCCCAGTTTTATGTATTGGAAACTTAGTCCTCACTGTTAAGAGGGTGGGAAATCCTATATGGTAATTGATAGGTGGAGCCTTGAAGAGGTGATTTGATTGTAGGACCATGCAGTAGTGAATGGATTAAAAATGGTGGTCAGGGGCGTGGTTCTGAGGGCTTTAAAAGGATAGTGAATAAGGAAGTTGGCTACTTTCTCTCTGCTCCCATCATCTTGCAATGTGAGACCCCTGGGTCACTGTTGCCACCACCAGATTGACTTTGGACTTCCCAGCCTCAGAAACTGTAAGCAATAAATTTTGTTTTCTTTCTAAATTACCCAGTTCCAGGTATTTTGTTAAAAGCAATGGAAATGGACTAATACAGGATATGAACCCTTGACCTTGGTGTTACCAGCACCATGCTCTCCCAAGAGAGCTAACTGGCCAGCCCTCAACTGATTCCTTATGCATATAAAAGCTTATGGGAGGCTGGCCAGATATAAAGCCCAGAGTTGCTTCTGTTAAAGTTGAGGTGGGGTTTCTGAACCCTACACATCAGATTCCCCGTCCCTCACAGTGCCCCAAGGCATCTCCCCAGGGCTCCACAGAAACCAATTTGAATGATGCTTGCCCAGAGGTCTCTGATGGCTCTGTCAGCTCTGGGTGTTCATGATACAAGAACCTCTTGGCCTGGGTCTGGCCTTCCTGCCAATCCCTACCCTTCATCACAGTATGGATCCTACACACAATTATTTTCTATTCCACTGCCCATGTGACAAGCACCAACTCACCTATGGTGCCTCAGCCAATGATCACCTCCCCAGTGACACTTAATGCATCTACTTCTGGGCTCCTGTTGCTCCCTGGCTGCTCCCCGGTGGCTCTCACCCACTGTAGTGCTTTTGTTTTTTGTTATCTACCCTTCTGCCACTGATAACTCCCTGAAGCAGAATGACACCTCTGGTGCCTAGGTCCCCAGTGCCTGGCAGTAGCCCTGGTCCAAGGCAGGCACTCAGCACATGTTGATTGAATGGGTCTCAGCTCGGGCCCTCCTAGAAAGTCCTGACCAGGGTCCAAAGTCTTTCCATGGCTTATGACTCTTCAAGCACCTCAGTCACCTGGCCCTCAATCACCTCTCTAGCCTCCCTTCTCCCACTTCCTCCTCATTTCATCTGCTTTGGCCACTGGCTTCCTTGCTATTCCTCAGAAGTGCCAGGAGCGCTCCCCTCTCGGAGTCTTTGAACTTGCAGTTCCTTCTGCCTGAATCCTCTTCTTCATTGGATTTAATGGACTCCTCCTCTCAGTGAATTCAAGCATCTGCTCAAACATCACCTTCTTAGAGGGGCCTCCCCAAACCTAAAGTGGCTTCTTCCCATCCATCTCTTCCCCCAGCCTGCTTTATGTTATCTTCATAGTGCCTACTACTACTTGACTTCCAGGAAGTCCCTTTCACACCCCATGCCATGAAGAATCAAAGCCTCATCTGTGCAGGGACAGGGGCTCCATGAAGCCATTTACCTACTGCTCTTTCTGAGCAACACATAATTTAGTTCAGTCTGTAGTAAGAAGGATTTAGGTTAGACAAGGAGTAAGCCTCTGCTCTCACAGATATCACAACAATGAGCACACTGAGTTGACCAGTCATGTCTGGTTTGTCTGTGCTCCCAGCATGGGGCTCTGGGGTGGGTCTGGCCCTAGGAAATGATGAATGAATGTAAATCAACCTATTCACTCCACAAGTATTTATCAAGCAACTACTATGTACCAGGCACTTTTTAGAGTGCTGGATATAAAAATTGACAAAAGTCTCTGACCTCATGCATCTTACACTCAATTTGAAGAGACATATAATACTACAATAAATGAGTACTTATATAACTGTTGAGACGCTATGAGCCCTGAGCATATGCCAAGAAGGCAAGACCCTGGACACCTCTTTATCTAGGCCATTTCTCAGGGTTGAGTTCGCAGCAAGAAACTTGAGGGATGAGGTAACATTTCCCCCAGAAAAAGAACAGGCATGCTTACCAGTCACTATAAAAGCAGTGAATCTCCCATCTCTGTGTTCTTCTCCTAAGGCCACCTACTAGGTGTACAAGCTTCTATGATGGTTCTCTGTGGGGCTTGGGAGACATGAGGAACTGACACAAACAAACATGAAGATCTAGCTACTGCTTTTATAAAGTAAATAATAAAGTCCTTTATTTCTTACCCAGAGTTTCATGTCTTCTGCCAGCATCCATGAAACAGCAACAGACTAGTTTACTAATTTGTAAGTAGGGTAAAATCTCAGAGGCTGGGGCCGGCCCGGTGGCGCACTGCTACAGTGCACCGCTTGGGAGCACGGCGGCGCTCCCGCCGAGGGGTCGGATCCCACGTACAGACCGGCCGCTCACTGGCTGAGCGAGGTGTGGGCGCAACACCGAGGGTTGCGATCCCGTTGCCGGTCCTGGTCTGGTACGGGCGCGACACTGAGGGTTGCAATCCGTTGCCGATCACAAAAAATGACAAAAAGGAAAAAAAAAAAATCTCAGAGGCTGTGCAGTTCTTGACAATGATGTGTGAAGTGGAGATTAGTGCTATGGAGAAAATAGAGCAGAAACAGAAAAAGGAGGAGACAGAGCATGGTTGGGGGGTTGGCTTGCTGTTTTAGATAGGGTCGTTAAGAAACGCCCTTCTGATAAGGTGACATTGGAGCAGAAACACAAATAAAGTGAAGAAACAAGCCGTGTGACTATTTGGAAGAACAGTATTTCAGCCAAAGGAAACAGCAGGGGCAAAGGTCCTGAGGTAGGAGGATACCTGGGATATTTGCAGAACAGCCTAGTGGCTGGTGTGGCAGCAGAGGACGAGATCAGGGATGGTCAGGCACCAGAAAACGCAGGGCCCAGAAAGGTCATGTAAGGTGTTTGCAACGCACTGAGTGAAATCAGTGGGTTTTGATCAGAGAAGTGGTCTGCTCTGATTTCCGTTTTAAAGGACGACTCTGACTGCTGTGTGGAGAACAGCAGGTAGCCCTGGGGACCAGGGTGAAAGTAGGGAGCCAGTGGAAGCTGTTACAATTAATAGTCTAGGTGACAGACGACAGAGGCTTGGTCCTGGTCGTGACAGTGGAAGTGGTGGGAAGTGGTCGGCTTTTGATACATTTTAAGACTAATTTGGATGTGGGGTGTGAAGAAGAGGAGTCAAGATGACCCCAAGGTTTCGTTCTGAGCAGCTTGCTACAAGGATGGTGTCGCTGAGGTGGGGAAGACACAGGAGGGGCAGGTCTGGAAGGAATCAAGAGGACTGCGAACGAGCATGAAGGAACGAAAGTGGACGAATGGATCACCGGAAACCTTCTTTCTCTGAAGCGTGGAACAAAAGGCCGGTCCAGCACCTCACGTGTCTGGGCCGGCGCTGCAACGCCCCTTCAGAAAAGGAGGTAGCGGTTCCTTTAAGAGGCCTTCCCCCGCCCCGTAAAGCCCCGCCCAGAGAGGGCACGTGCCCCTCTGCCGCGCCCTAGGGGCGGGACTCTAGGCGGTTTGAAAGTCCGGCGATCACCCTTAGAGAGGCGGTTCGCCCTGCGACTGGGATGTCGGTGTTAAGGCCGCTGGACAAGCTGCCCGTCCTGAACACGGCCACCATCTTGGTAGGTGCCGGCGGCCCCCCTTCCTCCACTGCCTTTCCCCTTGGCCGCCTCTCAGCCTCCCCGGACTCTGTGCTCCCTGAGGTGCCGGTGCGCGCTATTCCTCCGGGGGTGGGGGTAGGCGGTAGAGCCGTGCTCTGAACCAATCGGAGTAGTCGCTCTGTGAGATTGAGGAACGCACCTACCAATAGGTGTGCGGCGGGCTCTTTCCCAGCGTCTGATAGGTGGGGTGGGTGGGCGGAGGCCCGGAAGTGGAGTTACGCGCCCGCAGCCGGGACTTGCTTTTCCCGCGTTTCGAGATCTGCCTCTCCGAGAGGCCAGGCCTTGCGAGCGAGGGTCCGCGGAGGTAGTAAGTGCTCAAACCTCAGACCCTCCACCCTTGCGCCTCGCGGGGGTCCTGTTTTCGGAGAGAGGCGCCCTCCGAGCTGTGACCTGTTCCCCGGGGGCGTGGTCCCGAGCGCCAGGCCCTCCAGAGGGCAGCTGTGCCCAGGCCTCAGGCGGCTGCTTTCTTTCTCTGGGCAGCTGGTGGGCACGGAGGATGCTCTTGTGCAGCAGCTGGCGGACTCGATGCTCAAGGAGGACTGCGCCTCCGAGCTGAGGGTGTAAGTAGCTGCGGCCGTGGCCTGAAGTCTGGCCTGGGCGGGCCGGAGAGAGGGAGGGGAGAGGGAGCCGCCAGGCGTCGGGTGCAGGAGGGCCCGTGTGAGGAATCTCCACGCCAACAGCTGTCGGTCCTGCCGGCTCTGCCCTGAGCCTGCCCATCGTCCCGGAGCTGGCTCCTTCACGGCCGACTTCAGACTCCAGATGTCCGCACCTCGGACAGGACCCATCACACTGTCACCACACGTGTCGTTTTCCTCATAGCACTTATCACCGTAAGAAATGACCCGTCCAACTGTTTACTTGTTTCCAGGCTGCCACCCCGTGGACAGTCAGCCCCTGGAGGGCGGGGACTCCGACCTTTGTTCACTGGTGAATCCCTCGTGCCTTGAGCAGCGACTGGCACAGAGTAGATACTCAATTAATTGTCGTTCACTTAGTCTGGTTAATGCAAGATGAAAGGAGGCTTTTGAGGGAAGGGGATGCTGGGAATGTTTCCAGGTAGTAAAAGTGGAAGGCGAGGATTTCCATGTAAATATAGTGAAGTGAAGCTGAACTACAAAATTTTCTTCCCCCAAGACGTAGTGAAATGAATTGGAAAATAGCAAAAATCAGCAAACTTCACTGGCAGCAAAACAATCTGGCATGCTATGCCTGCTAATCCTACTCCCACAACAGAATTCTGAGAATTCTTTAATGCCCCCCAAATTTTGAGAAAAGGTAACTAAAGAAATATATTCTGTTTTCCTTTTTCCAACTTGTAGGGAATACAAACAGCTGCTGTTTCAGTGAAGTGACTAATACGTGTGGGTGTCATTCTCCCTGATAGAAAGATAGTCCCAGAGACCCATGTTGAAGGAGAATGATCCAAATCCAGAGGGTATTTTCTCCGTGGGGATTGTAATGCCCCTTACTCAGTAGAATAAACTCTGGTACAACACTTTAATGAATCTGTGATGAGAGAGTATAATCTTTTCCCTCTAGATATTGTTCTAGGTCTGCCTGTGCTCCACCCACCTTACCAGGCTTTCAGACTACGGAACATAAAACACAGTAACCAACAATCTGAAACCCATAGCTCAGAAATGGGAAAGGATTTTTAAAATGCATTTAATTAGTATTAGACTGCAGTAAATGGGCAATGTGGACAAAATTGCCTACCTTGGGCAAAAACAAAATGGAAAGAAGTGTCATATGAACCATTGCAAAAAACAGGGTAGGTCACATGGTATACAAAAATCTGAAGAACCCACTCTGGAAAGAGATACAGAAAAAGGAGAAGAAAGTTCCTATTTGAGTACCCTGTCCTATTGCAAGACCAAATGATAAAACAACAGAAAGAGGAAAAGAGAGGTTGTGGAGCTAAGGGTAAAAAAGAGGGGTAAAAATAATACCATTTGAGATCTGTCTAATAAATACATAGAAACAGTAAGAATCAGAGTAGATGTGGTTGAAAATTTAATTGTTTACAAAGAAGAAACATTTGAGAAAATCGCAGCAAAAGATTTAAAAAAAATCTTGCCCACAAGAGCATCAGGTGAGTTGGTGAGGAGCCTTCAACAGCTATGAAGCTTCTTCCCCTATGAAGTGCAACATGTGAACGTCACTGTAAGGTTGGTATGTATGCAATTTCTTGTTTTTCAGCCACTTGACAAGGTCCCTCCCTCTGCCCTCCAATGTGAATCGGCCCCGAATTGACCTGATTGTGTTTGTGATTAACCTTCACAGCAAATACAGGTGAGAGCCAGAGGACATGGTCTGTCAGGGCTCAGACATACCTGCCTTGGGAGTGTGCTGGGACAGTTGTCATAGGAAGGAGTCAGGTCTCACTTGTCATAGGAAGGAGTCAGGGAAAGGCTGCCTGGGGTCAACCCAGGGGGAGAGGAGGTAGGAGCCAGTGGCCGGTGCACAATGTTTAAAAGACACTGATAATTCCTGATAGTGTCATCTGTTCATTTAGCTAATATTCTCTGAGGCCTACTCTCTATACTGACAGGAGGCACAGAGATGAATGAAACAGACCCCTTGTCCTCAAGGTGCTCCGAGTCCATTTGGGGGAGGAGGCTGGACGTTTGAACAGACATTTACAGTACCTGGAATATACAGTAAAAGAAGGAAACGTTGGGCTATGGGAACCCAAACAAGACCTGTGACAGCCAGGACTTAGGTGTAGGAGGTCAGGGTAGACTTTCTGGTGGAGGTAACGTCCACATTCACACCTAAAAGATGAGAAGGAATTAGCTGGGTGAAGATGAGAGTGAGTTCCCCTTGGGAGACAGCTGACTGAGATTAGGCAGAGCTCAGGGTCCAGCACACAGACCAGAGCAGACACCTAGCCATGTGATAGGGGTTCAGGGAAGGTTGTGGTAGGAACACCTGGGAACCGAGAAGCCTGCAGACACCAGATACATGTAGCATCAGGATTAAGTCTCAGTCGACCTCACTGCCTGATCAGTTGGAATGTGGTGGGGCTGAGGAAGAGCTGAGATCTGCCATGACTACCACAGGGTCCTGCCTCAGCAGATTTGTTGCTCTTTGGGGGAGGCCTCTCTGCTCACCAAAAGGGACTGGTCCTTGGAGAGATCCTGCTCTACAGCGTCCTTGGGGGCAGGACCATTGTTGCTTTTGGCCTCAAACTGAAAACTTAGCGTAGGCCACCAAACTGCTAACAGCTCTCTGACCTCCTGGGCCAAGGCTTTCATTTACTGGTGTCCAGGGACAGAAGAAGGAATCTGTTGTCTCCTGGCCAAAAAGCCATCTTGGTCAGGTGGCCAACACTAAGGGTGACAGGAAACAGCAGTTTCCTCTGGGAGTTGGGAGTGAAGGGTGGTGCTGTGAGAGGGGGACTTCTACTTTTTTTGTATACATCCATATTTATCATTTTACAAGCATGAGTGGCTTTGTAATTAAAAGTAGTTTTAAAAAATTAAAGGACAAAATATTCCTTCAGGGATGTTTCTCGTCACCCTCCTCTCATTCTCTGGCCTCTCTAAGATCAGAAAAGCAGGGGCGGGCCGGCCCGTGGCTCACTCATGAGAGTGCGGTGCTGATAACACCAAGGCCACGGGTTCGGATCCCATATAGGGATGGCCGGTTCGCTCATTGGCTGAGTGTGATGCTGACAACACCAAGTCAAGGGTTAAGATCCCCTTACCGGTCATCTTTAAAAAAAAAAGAAAAAAAGAAAAGCAGGGGCTTCTGTTTCTACATTGTAAAGTTTTGTCCTCTGGTTTGTGTTCTTGCCCTGGTCTGGCCACCCCAGCCTCCAGAATGTAGAGAGGTCCCTGCACCATGTGGATGCCAGCTTCTTCCTGGGGAAGGTGTGCTTCCTCACCACGGGCGGTAAGTGCCTCCCTCACCTGCCACTGCCCACCCCCAACCAAGAGAAAGCAGTGGCAGTTGTAGACTCTTGCTAAGGCAGCCCAGGTGATAGAAAGAACAAGGGCTTTAGAATCTGACCTGTTGTCAGTCTTTCTAAAAGCAAATCTGAGCAGATAATTCTGCTGTTGCTTGGAATTGCCTAGTGATTCCCCGTGGCTTTCAGACTAAAATCCAACCTCTCCAAAGACACAAAGTATTTTGCAGCTTGACCTCTGCCTTCTTGTCCATCTCATCTCCTGTTCTCTCATTCTTTGGGTCAGCTCATAGTTCTCTGAAAAAGTCCTGCTGTTCCTGAGACGTTGTAACATTAACAGTGGAAATAATAATAGCTAACCTTTATTGAACTCTCACTGTGCACCAGACACTGTTTGTTCATAGTTGCTTTGTTTTTAAGATCATATTAATTTTTGAGCTAGGTATTATCATCTCAGTTTTATAGCCAAGGAAACTGGTCATGAGGTTAAGTACTTGCCCAAGGCCCCATAGCTAAATAATGGTGGAACTGAGATCCACACCTAGATAGTCCTATTCCAGGGCCCGTCCTCGTAATGATTACTGTATGGCTTCTCTCAAATCCTTTCTTCCTATTCTTTGTCTTGCTAAAATATACCCCTACAAATACCTGAGAACTCAGCTCCAGTGTCACCTCTAGCATCAATGACATGTCTAACCTGTCCTCCTCCCCAGCTGAACTGTGAGCTCCTTGAGAGGGGGCCTGGCATAGATTGTTCTCAGTAAGTATTGGTGAATAAGTGAATGCCATGTAATTTCTAGATACCAGTTCATTGACTTGCTACAGTAACTCAGTGGGGTAGTAGCTGTTATTCTCATTTTATAGATGAGGAAACTCATGTATTTATAGAGCACTCTCTAAAAGCCATTTAAACCTTATTGTCTGATTTGATGATCTTGACTGCCCAGAAAAGAACGTAGAACAGGATTGTCACCCCATGGACTAGTAAGAAACTGAGACCCGGAGGGGGAAAGTGATTTGCCCAGTGCTTTCTGGATTACAGCCATGGAGGTAGAGATAACAGCCTGTAGCATTCACGGCTTCTTTGCAGCTGGGCGGGAGAGCCACTGCAGCATTCACCGGAATACCGTCGCGATGCTGGCCCACACCTACCGGAGCCCCCTGCTCTTCTGTGACCTGGAGGTGAGGACACTGATCACAGTGGCTGATGTTACACTCGATTGTGGGGAAAGGGCAGTCAGCACACAGTGGACATGTCTGGAATGCTTAGTGAAGGGTTGTGGAATACCAAGTGAGATGGTTCTTGATGTGAAGGGAGACACAGGGTCTGGGTTCAAATCCTGGCTCTTCTGCTCACTGGCTGTGATCATGGGTGGGTCACCCTAAGCTTTGGTTTACATGAGTTAAAGTAGGGGTGATGTGCATTCCTCTTGAGTGCCCCTTATGCCAGGCTCTATCTCTTGTTGCCTTGCTTTTTCTTTTCTTTAGTTTCTATGTACTTATAACTAAGCCTTTGCATATGTTTGTGGATCTGTGTTAATATCTCACTCTCCTGCTGGAGTGTAAGTCCTTGTGAGGCCAGGCATCATGTCTGTCTCATTAGCCAGTGCATCCTTGTTTCCCCCTGGCAGTCAGGACATCGCCCTTACCTCCCTGGATTGCAGACCTTGTCCAGTCCCCGCCCAGGGTAGGGCACTCAGCAGACAGGGATATTTGTTGGGCGGGTGGGTAAATGGTTGGATGGTTTTGAGGTTCATGTTTCTGCTCTATTCTGGACCTCGCATCTGTTCCCAAAAGCACCATGATGTCATGCAGAGAGAACTGAGTCAGCACACAATCCTTCCCCACCAGCTAGATCAAGAGTTCTTATTCTGTGGTGTGTGGACCCCTCTGGTCTGAGGGCAGAATTCAGGGAATCTGTGAACTTGAATGAGAAAAAGAAACTACTCCTTTTTTCCTACTAAACTCTAAGTGAAATTGAGCGTCATGAATGTAGGCAACAGATGTCAGTAGTGTTAGCAGAGCCTGTGACTGTTACCAGTAGAGATGGCAGATGTTTTCATATCACATTAGGGTTGGGTGGATCTCATCCCTATGTCAACATGAATCGTTAGATCTGCCCTAGATCGCCCTAGATCAGTGCATCAGTAAAGATACACACGCTACTCTATCACTACGTTGTTTCTAATATTTGATGGCTGTTTTTAGAATCCCTGACTAGATAGACACTCTGATCTCACAGATGGGACTCTGAGGCCTGGGCTCACCTAAGTGCCTGCCCCTTCCAGGCTTTCCACACAGCAAACCTCTGAGGAAACCGAGACTCAAAGAAGAGGTGACTTGCTCACGGTTACACAGAGAGGAAGCAAGTGGCAGAGCCAGCCAGTTGGTCTGCTGACTGTGTGGATTTAACAAGTCACTTTCCCTCCTCGAAACCTCAGTTTTCTTATCTCTAAAGGGGAATAAATCATAATCTTTCCTCCAGGGCTTATTGCCTGTGGGTAGTGGTGGTGCTTGCTAACCTTGTGACAGATAGTGCAGTTCTGCATGTGGCCATGAGGTGGCGGGCCATACCAGGTCCTAGGTTCTCTTCTATTCTGAGAACTTCTGTCTCAACAAAACGCCAGAGACTGCATGGAAAGTGAAGCAGGAGGCCCCAGCCTGTTACCAGCCAGCAGCAGGGGCTGCAGAAATCGTGTGGACCGTCGTCGCCCTTCATGCCTGGGTTGTCCTCTTCAGAGCACTCTTCTGCGTATCAAGTTTAAGCCTTGCCATATTTTGAAGCCTTTGCATGGCAGGAATTATCGGCTCCATTTTATAGATGAGGAAACATATTCAAGGAAGTATGTGATTCGCCCAGTGAAATAATTTTATAGATAGGGCCCTGTGCTGGTCCCTGGGAACCCAAATGAGTCGGACATAGGCCCTGCTGTCACAGAATCCAGTGAGATAGATAGATTTGGAACATATGCAATGGGGAAATTTGCTGAGCTTTGGAAGCCTGGCTGTAGAAACAAGTCATTTCTTCCTGTCCATCGTGGGCCAAGTCGTGATTGTGGACAAACATGAGTTTTTGGGCCATGACTCTGGAGTGTGATGTGTGGGTTGGAGGAGAGCTGGCCAGAGGCAGGTCACAGGTGGTGGAGACTGGGCTAGAGCAGCAGCCACATGGAAATAGATTTTGGGACGAAGCCACAGAACTTAGCGTGAGAGGCTTTTTTCAGCAAATACTCATACTTGCATATCCATAGTGTGCTGAGCACTGCTGTAGACACTAGGGACACAGCATAGAACAAACCAGTAAAAAAATCCCAGCTCCATCCTCACTGAGGAAACAAGGTGAAGAAGTAGAATGCATCATGTGTTAGGAAATGGGGATGTGACATGTCAGGTGGTGGTAAAGGGCAAGATTTAGGGTGACCAGGGAGGCCTCACTGTAAGCGTGACTTCTCAATGAAGACTTGAGGAGATAGGAAGGCATGCTGTGAGACCCGTGCTGGAAGAGTGCACTCAGGACAAACTGCACATGCAAAGGCCCTGAGCTTAGAATTTGCCTGGTGTGTACAGGGTCCAGCAGGGAGGCCAGTGTGTCTGGAGCAGAGCAACAACGGGCAGAGTAGCAGGAGATGAGCAGAGCGACAGTAGGGCCAGGTCAGGATCTGTGGGTCACAGTTAAGGCTGCGGTTTCAACTCTTAAGTAAAACTGGAGCTGCTGGAGGGGCCTGACTTGAAGTGGGTTCCTCTGGTTGCTGGGGGCAGAGAAGACTGAAAGGAGGCCAGGGCAGAAATGGGGAAGCGGATCTGGAGGCTCTTTCTGGAGGGGTTAAGAGTGACCTAGACTTGGCAATGGCCAGGGAAGAGGGGGATGAGATGGCCTATGACACTGGATGTTTCTGGGTGGAGCTGACAGAATGTGCTCAGGGTCCAGATGTGAGACGTAAGAGAAAGAGGAGTCAAGGGCGACTCTGCCGTTTCTGGCCTGACTGGCTGGAAGGATGGAGTAGCCTTTGGCTGAGATGAGGAAGACTGTGGAGGAGCAGGTCTTGGGGGCTACCAGGGGTTCTGTTTTGGACGTGCTAAGATTAAGGTATCAGCCTTCTCAGTGGAAAAACCAAGTACACAGCTGCATACGTGTGTCGGACATTCAGGGTAGAAGTCTGGAGATGTGATTTGGGCATTATAGCAATTAGATGATTTTTAAGCCACGGAACTGGATGCAGTCACCTAGGGACGGAGTGTAGGAGAAGAGATCCAAGGATCCAGTCCTGTAGCCCCAGCATTTCAATATCAGGCACAAAGGAGGGAGCAGCCTGTGACAGGGAGGGAGGCTGGGTTAGGGTGCGGTCCTAGGAGCCAGGCAGAAAAAGCATTTCAAGGTGGGAGTGAACCACTGCGTCACATTCTGCTGATAGGACCAGTGAGGTGAGGGCTGAGAAGTCTCCACTGGATTCTATACCAAGGAGGTCATGGGTGACAAGTGGCAGGAGAAAGTGGGGGGAGTTGGTGAAGAGTGGGTGGTGATGCCCCCTTCCCCCAGCTAGAGAGGGAACAGGAGAAGGTGAGACGCTTCTGAGGCCACCTGTCGGCCAGGGGAAGACATTGAGTGTCATCACTTATTCTTCCAGCAGATGTTCACAGAGCATCTCTTGCATGCCCAGCCTAGCCAGGGCCAGGGCCAGGAGCCCCTCCCTAACCCCACAGCTCTCCTGGGCCTACCAGCCCTTCAGAAGCCCTGATAAGGGAAATCTTTGTGGATGGCACCTCCTTATCAGCATGAGGGCCACTCTCTCCATTCCTCCTTCCCATGCCTTTCTCAGATCCCAGGTGAGCCTGTAGGGCCTGCGCTGCCCAGGCATTGGTTGGGACCAGCCCAAGTTCCAATCCCAGCTCTGAAGTCACTAACTGTATGACCCTAGACAGTTGACTTGACCTGGACGACTGTGCTTGCTGAGCCTTCGTGTCCTCTTGAGCAGGGGCTCACAGTCTCTGGGTGTCTCTAGAAATTGTCTGAAGGACTGGGTAAGCTGAGGTGGTCAGAAGCTGCTTTGTGAGCTGTGGTTATGGTGGGTAGTGGTGCTCTGAGCTGCCCCTGCAGCTTAGTCCCAACCCTGCCTCCAGCAATTGGTACAGCCTCCCTGAGTGGGAGCAGGCCTGGCCACCTCAGCCTGTCTCACCTCTGTTCTCTACTCTTCCCTGCAGGTGGAAGAGTTTCGAGCCACCATGGCACGACGCCTGGTGCGCATGCTGCAGATCTGCGCTGGTCACGTGCCCGGCGTCTCAGCCCTGAACCTGCTGTCCTTGCTAAAGAGCTCTGAGAGTCCCTCACCAGAGGACCCCTGAGGGCTGCTGGGTCCTGGGCTGTCCTCCCCACAGCTGGATTCTGGCTCCATAAACATTCACAGGCCATGGGTCAGCAGCCAGATATTTTGCAGGCTCCCTGCAGGGCCCATGCGCCTCTGTGCTCCAGCAGGGAGTGCTGGGCAAGCACCGGGAGGGAGCCCCGTGAGGGAGACTGCAACGCCCCCACTCCCATGCTCGCTCCTGCAGAGCTCCTTGTCTTTATCCACCTGACATGGTGTTTCTCCACTTAAGATTTCATTTAAATAAAGGGTCTGTGGCTAAAAAAAAGTTTGAAAATCACTGGTCTCTGCACTTTGACTTTGCAGATGACGAAACTGACTCAGAACAATTAACAGGGTGGGGTAGGGGGAGTTTGGATTCAGTGACCACTATCTGGCTCCACATCCTGACCCTGCTATTCTTACAGAAGCTGCTTGTTGCTCTTGGAGCCTCGGTGTCTTCAGGTGTAAATGGACCTGATCTACTCACCTTGTCATGTGAAGATTGAATGAAATGATAGGTGAAGTCCCTGAGATTGTCTTACTCCCTACACTAGTTTGTATGCTTGATATATTCATGACATGCTGTGTTGATGCCTTGCACAGTGCCAGGTGGGCGCTTAATGAACAATAACTATTGCTTGCAATCACACAAAGCTGCGTTCAAAATTGGCGCAAATCAGGAACTACCACCCCCATCATGTCTGTGAGAAGCTGACTGGAGGGCTGGGTTTTGGGTCGGCAGTGAGAGGTTGTGCAGTGAGGATTGCTTTCCTTCTCCTTTGGGTCTCACTAGAATTTGTAGAAGTGCAGGAATTGGACTCCAGAAATCCCATCTGCCACATCAAGGCTCCTGCCGCTGCAGAGGTGGACTCGGCACATGGGAGCTTTGGGGGAAGAGGGTCTGGTGGGAGAAACCTGAAGACGAGAAGCAGGTCCTGGCTCCCCGGGACAATGACAGTGCCATCTCCACCCCCCACCGCCTTCCAGCCTCAGGCTTCAGTCCTGTCCCTGCTTGATGCCCTGGGCAGTGCCAGCACTGCAGGGCCTCTCCCCTTTGACATCACAGTCACAGCTGGGGCTCATGCTCTTTGCTGAAGCTGTGCCAACTTCTAATCCCTTCTTTGACATCACAGTCACAGCTGGGGCTCATGCTCTTTGCTGAAGCTGTGCCAACTTCTAATTCCTTGTAAGTGTCACATGGGCAGGGGCTTGCCTGCCTCTTTTCTGTAGGTACCTTCTAGAATCTAGCCCTGAGTCCCACCCCTAGTGCTCAGTAAGGGTTTGTAGACACTTGGCTGACTTCCAGGCAGTCCCTTGGGCCTGCCAAGGACCTCAGCTGTGTAGATTCTGGTTGAGGCCCCACATGTCACCCGACATTTGCAGGACACTTCACGCTTCACAGAGCTCTCATGCGGTAGTATCTCCTGTCGCCCTCCCAGCAGACCTGTGAGGTCGATGTTTCCACATTTCACAGTTCATGAAACTGAGACCATTGTCATCGGAGGTGTGTCCACAGTCACACAGCTAACGGCAGCAGGACCAACCCCAGTCCTCTGCTTTTCCCCTCTTGTGTGTCTTAATCGTTAAACAAAGGTTTGGGCATCTTCTGGGGCAGTCCCTTAAAGCCCCGCCCGTGCATGTGGTGCTGCCTTGGGACTGCCAGGATACTTGGCACCACAGGGGTAGCAGGGTAGGAGAGGGCAGGGCCTGCAGTGCGGGAGGAGGACACATGAGTGTGGGGCTCGAGCAGGCCCCGGGGCATTTGGTCGGGGTGGCCAGTGTCTGTGGAAGGAGGTGGTGCGTCCAGGGTGGAAGGAAGAGGCAGAGGTGAGAGGTGAGGGTTTGCCCTTCAGGGACGGCCATGTCAGCAAAGGGCCAGGGCTCCTAGGAACTTGTGTTGTCACCAGACCCCTCAGCATCCTTTGCCATAGAGGCCACCTGGTCATGGGGAGCTTTGGGGGCTGGTGGAGCAGGGCAGGAAAGCAGTGTGGACTTTTCTGGCGACGAGGAGAGGCCTTCCTCACACCCCTCCCCCCTCCCCAGCCAGTGTAGGGCACATCTCTCTCAGGTCCCTGTGCCACATTATCTTTACCACCTGGTGCCATTTAACAAGAGAAGTGCCATCCCCTTCTCCAGCCAAGGATCTGGTAGCTTTCCAAGCACTGGGGGGAACACGAAGTTGTCACTGCTGCCAACTCTGAGCCAAGCTTGGCAGGGGCCCTAGAATGAGAGGCCGCCCCTCTGGGGTGGGGGCCGTCCTGCCCCTGCCTCACAGCAGACCTGAGCAACGCTTCAGTGGCAGTCGGGTGCCCTCTCAGACCTGCTTTCTCTGGAAGGCTGGGGACGGGCCCAGGGAGTGTGGTTGCTTCTTAGTGTCTGGAGGCCAGTGACATTGCCCAGGAGGCAGTCTGGCTGAGGGAAGTAATGGAAGGCGAGTCTCTGTGCCTTGTAGTGTGCCCAGAATGGGGACTTGGAACTATGGTGGGTTGGAGGAGACAGGAGACACCAGGCTTGGCAGCTTGCTGATGGCTTAACCTCAGGCAGGTCACTTACTCTCCATGAGCCCTTAGTTCCCTCATCTGTAGAATGGGGTCATGCTCACTAATACCTTTCTCTCCAGCTGCTTATGAGTGACAGTTGACTGTGAAGAAGCCACTATTAAACATAAAGCTTTAAGCAAATGTAAAACCTTTCAGGTGGTCACACTGGAGGCCACTGCTGAGGGTGGGCAAGGCCCCATGGGCTGCAGGTCCGAATGGGAGGGTGGCCTGAGGCTCCAGGAGGAGATGCCCCTCTGCTGGGCCTACAAGCTGCCCGGGCCCTGCTCTCGGGTGAGGGCAGAAGGTGGTGTTCGGGTCCTGCTGTCTGGTTGAGGTGTCTGAGGCTCTCAGAGGGGCAGGGCTTGTTCAGGGTCATGGGTTCATACATCCCTCTCAGGCCACCTGGTCATGGGGAGCTTACATTCTCCATAGGGGCAGCCCAGACCCCCGAGTCCTGGTTCCCACCCCTGCCGAGGAGGCAGGGCCTTCCTAGCGAGCAGGGGGCTCTGTAGCATGGCCCCATGTCTCCACCGCCCAGTGAGCAGAGGCAGGGGCAGGAGCATCTGGCGGCAGAGGGGAAGTGGTGCAGTGGGAAAGGACGTGGCCTTGGAGTCCCACCGGCTCGGGGTCTGTGACCGGTTCCCAGTGCGACCTGGGGCAGCTAACTTCCCTCTGAGCCCTTGGCGGCAGAGGGGAAGTGGTGCAGTGGGAAAGGACGTGGCCTTGGAGTCCCACCGGCTCGGTTCCCAGTGCGACCTGGGGCAGCTAACTTCCCTCTGAGCCCCACTGCTAGTTCCTCCCCTTGAGGTGCTTGGAAGACTCGGAGAGAGACTGACACCTGCCTGCCTGCGTCCCCTCCACAGTGCCAGGGGGGACGGGTGAGGTGAGCCTTAGGGCTCTTGAGACAAGCTCTGCCACAGCCTGCCCCTCCCCCCACACACAAAATGGGCACTGGGCCAGGCCTGCTGGTGGAGCTCCAGCACAAGGGGACCTTTTCCAGGAGGCACCTGCTGGCTCGGCCCCCTTCTCTCCAGTCTCCCCTGGGGCCAGAAGGGTACAGGCAGAGAATCACTATGGCAGGACTTCTCACAGACACTTGGGGGGCTGAGGGAGAAACTGGTTGGCTGCCAGGTCCTGCACTCCTCAAATCTGCATCCCACCTGAGAACCACCCCATGGACAGGGCCACTGAAGACCAGATCCAGGAGGGAGAGTGGGTGGGCAGTCCCCAGTGCTCCTACGCTGGGCAGGAGGCAGCTTTCCTTGGTACCACCTTATTACATGGGGAGATGCCGAAGGTGTTTGGGAGGGCCCTGGGAGCTGCCGTCTGGCAGGTGCCTGTTCTGACTGTGTAACTGCCCTGCAAGGCCAGGCCCAGGGGGTCCCCCAGCACTTGTTCCTCCTCGTGTTCAGCCACAGGCCAGCCTCCCCCATGAGGGAACACAGAGTCCTCCAGGGCTGGACCTGACCCCCCAGCCCACATCCCTGTCTGCAGATAACAGTGGGAACCCCTCAGAGGTGTGTAGCATGGAGGACCGAGTGGCTGCCTGGCTCGTCCCCTTCCTCTCTAGCTTCCCTCCTTTGTGAGGTAGGGACTTGCCAGGGGTGCGGCACAGGGCTGGGAGCAGACTGCATCATACGCTGCCCTTTTCCTGGCTTCTCTGCTGTTCCTGGGCCTTGTCGGCTTCTCCCCATACATCCTCGAGGATCACTGTCACCCCGTCCCTCTCTGTTCCAGGGTCGCCACCTCACCAGGCCTTCTCTGACTCCCCTTTCAAACCCTTGTCTTGTGAATGTTTCTCCCCAGCACTTCTCACCTCTTCACCTGCTGTGTCATTTCCCCATTTGGGTTTTGTCTCTGGTTCCCTGCTGTTTCCCCCCAACCTAATACAGTGCCTGGTGCATAGTAGGTGCTCAGTATGTGATGAGTGACTGGAGGTGTCTGCACATGGGGTCAGCCTGTGCATTCACCCAGGGCCAAAACCTGCAGGAGGCCCAGAGCCCAGCAGGCTCCTTCTCCCTTCTCGTGGTGCCCTGAATGAAGCCTGGGACGGGAGGGTGGCCCCCCAGCCTCTTTCCACTTCACACATCTGCTGGCAGTCCCCCCCCCACCACCACCCGCCGCCAAGGGGGGGACTCTATTCCCTGTGGCCAGGAGGCTGGGGTACTGAAGTTTCCTTTCTAACCTCACATGGAGGGCCACATGTCCCCCATCCCAGGGCCATACTGTGAGAATGGTTGGGGCTGCCTCCGCCAAGAACCCTGTAGAGTGCAGGAGTGCGGGGGGTGTGCACGTGTGGGTGTGTGCGTGGAGAGTGGGGGCTTGAGGATGGGCCGCTGGGGCCCCTGAAGACCTGGGGAAGGATTTGTAAGAGCTTTGTGGAAGGGCGTGGAAGGGAGAAAGTGGGCAGGGGCTCCCTGGCTACCTTCTGCCTCTGGGTTCCGATGCTGGCCTCTCACTCCCATTGTCCAGAGGCCCCACACTGCCTCCTTCCTGCTGTCCCCTACAGGCGCACTTTCTAGCAGTGTCCTTGTTTGTCAGGGCTAAACACATAAGGACAAAGGAAATCTCCATGATGGGGGATCTGGGCCACTGTCACAAAATGAGATGGAGCCCAGAGAGTAAAGCACTCGAGGCCTGGCCCAGCCAAGGGGGACGGGGAAGGCCAGCAGAGCAATTCACACTGTGTGACCCCTTATGAAATAGCAGCAAAGCTGTCCCCTGCATGTGCACACATGAGATCGTAAAGGCTGCAAAGTGAAAGCAGAGGATCCCTCTGGGACTGCAGGGAAACACCCCTTCTTTCTCACGGCCTTCTGTATTGTTTGAGGGCTCTTCATGAGAAGTGTTCAGGTATTACTGGCATGATTACAACTAAAGCTAATTTTGAAATATGGAGTACATCCCGGGTCTCAGAGCAGTTTCACATCCAGATCTGGGGGGCTGGGCCTCTGCCCCCAGGGACTGCTCCCCCCATGACACCGTGCTTGTTCCATAGGCACAGAGGATCCTCACTTCCCCCCACCCTGTCCCTGAAGCATGAAGGACACAGGCCACGCTTCACAGTCAGGTGGACACAGACCCCGTCCGGGCCCCTCATATCTGCTGGGTCATCTTAGGAGGGCAGTTTGCCCCTCAAATCCTTTGTTTCCTCACCTGAAAGAAAAATGTCATAGTACCTGTGTCAGAGCCATGATGGGGGGAATTTTGGGGGTAAAAGTCAAGAGACTCCCTTCTTCCTGATACACCCTGAATTAATCATCTTTTTAAAAGAATTCACCAAATGAAAAGTTGAGAACACTCAGAGGCAGATTGAATTAGAAGGGTTTTTTAGCAACAAGTCCCTTATTTTCTATTCAAGAATACGTTGAGGTCAAGATATCAAATTATTTAAAGTAAAACTGTTAAAAGAACAAGGAAAATTTGCAGGAACCATATTGATTATAGAAACTTGAACTCTTCTCTCTTGGTCATATCTCATAGTCAAAAGGTGAGGTAGAAGAGCTTCCAGGTTGGTGAGCACATGGAGGTGCTAGGAGGTGGCAGGAGGTGACATGCCTCCCGAGAGATGGCACAGAGGCTCCATGTCCCTTCCCACATAGTTCGCCCTGCGCGTCTCTTCTGTCTGGCTGCTCCTGAGTTGTATCCTTTACAATAAACTGATAATAGTTTTGTTTGCTTTTTTTTAAGTGACATAGGAGACTTAGCTAAAGAAATTAATAAACTTGGGCTGGCTGGTGGCTCACTTGGGAGAGAGCATGGTGCTGGTAACACCAAGGTCACAGGTTCGGATCTCTGTACTGGCCGGCCACACACAAAAAAAATTTAATAAACTTGATCTAAGAGCTGTGGGAAAAAAAGAATACATTGAAATACCTAACATTTCCCATGTTGGTCTGATGGTGAAATTTCTCTTCTTAAGTACTAAGTCATCAAGCAGAGATTCAAGGCCTGAGGCAACCCCCACCCCATTTTGGAGGCCCAAGTGGAAAGGTTTATCCAAGGTCAGGCCCCTGCACACACCACTGACAAGAGCCCCCCAGGCCTTTTGCTCTTCCTGGCGTTGACCCCGGGCACCAGGCTCAGTGTGGGCTCATAGCATGCACCCAATAAACGTTGCGTCAGATGAGTGATTCTGCTTCTCCCCTTCAAGGCAGCGGCTCCCTCTCTGGCCAAGATTAGAGACCTTGCATCTCTGATGGTGAGACAGCTCTCGCCCTCTGCTTGGAGCCCTGAAGGCAGCCTCCTCTGTCTTTGCCAGAGGAGTCAGAGCAGCCAGGGACTCTCACCCCTGCTGTGAGATGGCTCCTGGTGCAGGCCAGCACCCTTATGGCTGCTACTGTAGATTATCCCACCCTGGCCACATGAGGTTCCCTGCTTCTGGTTTCCTGAATGTCTGGCGCAAGGGCTAAATGAGCTCTGCAACCCCAACAATACCAGCTAATAACAGAAGCATCCATACTGATGGGAGGGTGTGGCCCATAGAAGGGCTTGCTGCCCTGGCTCCCCCCACCCCCTCACCTTACACCCACACTCACACCCACACCCACCACCCAGACCCACTTCTCCTTTGCAGCTGCCCCACCGCCTACACCTTCCTGCCTCGGAGTTGGTGGCCCGTGCGCAGGGGATAGAGAAGGCAGTGGGCCAGAGCCCCTCGAGGCTGGCAGAGGGGGTTCTGTGTGAGGCCTTGGGGTCTCCTGAGCTAGAAACCTGGGGCCAACCATTTTCCCCTCATTCCGTGGCCAGCCGCTGCATTGTCCCACTGCAGCCAGAGAGAGGGCCCTTCCAAAGCAATCTCAGAGAGACCCTCCTGTGTAGAGGAAGGCCGAGGAGGCTTGTAGGACACGATGAGACAGGTGGGGGAATCCAAACACTGAGGAGTAGGGACAGACAGGAGGAGCCAGTAGAGACACAGAGCCGAGCAGGCCGGGATACACGCAGCCCTGGTAAAAAGGAGTTGGGGTAGCGCTCATATGAGGGTATTTCAAAAAGTCCGTGGGAAAAAAAAAGTTTATGGAAAAGATAGAATTAATAGGGCCGGCCCGAAGCTCCCTTGGGAGAGCGTGGTGCTGACAGCACCAGGTCAAGGGTTAAGAGCCCCTTACCGGCCATCTTTAAAAAAAAAGAAAAGAAAAGATGGAATTAATAGATAAAACAAATCTTTCCATGAAATGTTTGAAGACCCCTCATAGGCAGACCTTACCGGGACAGTCCCTGCTCAAAGCCCTGCATGGCTCCCCATGCTAGTCAGAGTCCAAGCTCCCTAGTGCTCCAGTCCAGGCCCAGCCCCGCCCTCTGGTCCCCGCAGGCCTTGGCCCTCCTGTCTGGGCCTCCAAGCCTCTGCTCACACGTGGCCTCCACTCCTATCATGCTCCCCTAGACCCCACTCCACCTGGCAAACACCCGCTCATCACCACCTCCTCCATGAAGCCTTCCCACCCCTTCCAAGCCCCTGCCATGAGGCATCATCTCTCCCAGACCCCACCACCACTGCAGGATTCCCTCCGGGTGGACCCGCGGCTGACTCAGGCCTGGTACAATGTGGTCACTCGGGCAGAGTTTGATGTCCTGAACCAGCTCTGCCAGGGAAGGGCAGGAGGACTCCTGAAGGAGGAGGCAGGTGGGGCCGGAGGGAGATGGCTGCGGGGAGCACCTGGGCAGGTGTCCTGACTGCAGGGGTCCATCCCCTTCACCACCCAAGAGCAGGCTCTGGCCTGACCCCCAGTCCTGTCCCATTGCCCAGAGGAGGGCCCACGCAGCTGGCGTCTGGGGGTGACGGTTGAACGGTTGAATGGAGGAACCACAGGTAGGAGAAGGTCTGGGGTGCAGGGGCCCGGCCGAGCAGGCGGGGGCGGGGGCGGGGCCGGGGCGGAGTGGGCGCCG